TGGCTGCCCTGAGGGCTGTGCCCCTCCAGACGTCCCTCTCAGCTCCCTCCTGAATGCCGGGCATCCTGGCACAGCCTGCCCTGTGTGATGGCTCCTTGTGTGCTGCGGGACCCAGCAGCCTGCCCGCACCCCTTTAGACTCAGGGAACAGGGGTGCCGGGGGCACACGGAGGGATGCAGTGGTGCTGGGGGGGCAAGAGCCCAGCCAAGCGATGCGTTGGGAGGCAGCACCGATGACCCAAGGAGAGCCATTTGTGAGGGGAATGACTTTGGCGCTGGCCAGGCCACGTGCTGGTCACGGTTCGTTTGCTGTGGGAAGCAGGGAGTGATTCATTTGGCAAGCTTCTGCGCTGCGACTGCACGAGGTTCATACGCCCCTGCGAAATGGCAGAGGGCACCGTGCAGCCTTGATCTGCAAATCTATATGCCACCCACTTGTCATCATTAAAGTTCACTGGATGTGCTAGGTAAAAGCTATGGTGTTCAGTCTGGACGCATGTGCTTTCTGGCTTTTTCTTCAGCTGGGTATGAAAAAAGCCTGTTCACTTCATACCTTAAATTTTTGCATAGTTTTGCATGGCAACATCATTTACCCCAACTGCCCCATCTTCCACCTCCAACCACCCTAATGATGGTACATTTAAATGCTAGCTGAAATGACTGTGGGCTCCCCAGCATGTCTGAGAGCACCGAGAGCCTTTAGGATGGGAGCTGGCTACGAGGCTACAACATAGTACTTCATATTACGGCAACTGCAAGTTGCCTATCAGTTCTGCATTTCTGGCTCCAGCTCTAAGCCCCCACTTGTTGGTCCCAAGAAAGAGTCGGCGGGCTCAGGAATCTGCTGCAAGGCTGACATTTTGCCCCAAACTCCAGCTGGCTTGCAGCTGAAGCCAGGCAGACGGCAGCTCGTGTGCCAACTGCAGGGAGAGCAGCAAGGCAAGGTTTGCCAGCGGTGAAAACACCAATAAATGCAGGTTGGAAGGAGAGGCCAAGTGCACAGAGCTGATCCAGGTTACTCATGTTTGACAACCACAAATTGGGATGAGAAAGCGTCTTTTCAAAACCCGTTTAACACATTCACCTTTGAGAGCTTTCAGCAAAAAGACAAGGCAGGAATGTTAAAGGGTCAAACTCCGGGTGTTTGCTTGTTCTTTCCTCAGGCAAACCCTCATTGATTGACTGTGGGAAGGGTGAGAGCTGAGCACAACTGACGGAGCAGTGCTAACACTGAAGCACGCAGCCTCCCGGCAGAGACTAATGTCAATGGACAAAGCTCTTCCAAACACACTCTGCTCTCTGCCCGCTGCACACTGCCAAAACCTAGTCTGAGCAGCTGCTGGTTCCCTACCACTTTTAGAGCCAGCACCTCCAACAGGCAGCGGGACTAGCATCGCATGGCTAGATTTCGGAGGGGTGAAAGAACAGTCATGGCGGCTGAGAGCAGGCTGGGGACTTGGCAGTCAATGCAAACGTCAGCTGCAGGGAGCCTCTCCATGACATGGGATCCTCTGGAAATGAGGGATATGACCAGGGTCTCACTGCGGAATGAGCTTTCATGCACCGATGTTGGTGAGACCCAGACCATGCTCTGGTTGGTATATCCAGACATGGACGGGCAAAGGCATTTGCAGGGGCAGCTACAAGATGAGGATGTGCAGTAGGTGACCATTGCCAGAGGGTCTCCTGCACTTCACTGGGTGCACTGGGCCAATTTTTTGAGCAGAGCTCTACTTCTGAGAACAAGACAGGCCCACCCACACTGGCCAGCCTACAAGCTGTAAATGCCTAAGCAAGACACTGATTCAGCCAGACTGCTCACATGAACAAAGATTACTCATGTACAGGCTGCAGGACCAATACTCCCGGGCCCTCATGACTCCTTGCCGACTCAGGAGTCTCGTCACTGCAATTACTACCACTCCATTCCCTGACGCCATCACACAACCCAGAAGTCAGGGGAATCACTGACCTGTTCATGGCACAGGTTGGGGACAAGCTTTGAGAGGACAATGAGTCTTACCGGGGTTTCTTTTTTTTGCTCTTAGCAAAGATGGGAGAGCACATCACTCCTACTGCTGTCCCCGTAGTAGGAAGGGCTCAGAGAACTAATGCCAGGGTCAGGCAATTGAAAGCACAAGAGACCAAAAACCCACATCCCGTAATTCCCCATCCACAACTCTGCCAGTCACACACCACTTCTTGACAGTCCTGAGCCAGCCAGCTGTGCCTACATGCTTATGCACACACAGAGTCACTGTCATAAGCCACACTTCCGCAGTCACTAACTCATCATGCCCAAGCCCACCTGCAGTCAGGTACCTTTTCTGGATTACATCCCTTCCCTCTCCCACACAGGCAGCAAGAGAATCGGTTTCTCAAGCACTGACACACGCACTCACCCACATTCCGCCCCCTGCTTCCCCTCCCATGCACATGGACTAACTGCAAGGTGGGATCTCACACCCTGGACGCTGGGAAACTGCATGCAAACGGGAGGAGCACATGCTCTTCTTGTGGCTTGCTCAAGTAACGACCTTCAAGCTTGCTAGCAGTAGAGGGATATTCCCATCCTGTCCTTTGTGTCCGCTTTCACCAAGACAGTTTATGAGAAAGCTTAAATGATCTGGGCAGTCACCTCCATCCACCCTTCCTGGCTAGAAGAATCCTCACAAGCAGCAAGGATGTCTCTCAGTATCCCAAATGTGTCTCACATAAAGCAGGCCTCTGGGTGAGTCTTCCTGGTAGCCATCCCATAGCTGCAGAGTCAGAGCCATCAGACCTGTCACTTGCACCACCAAGCAAGTGGCAGGTTTTCATCTGAGGCAGTGGTGGTGAAACGTCACAGGCAGTGATGAGGTGAAATGCTCTATGCACGGCACAGGGATGGTGACGTCTCACAGATGTGCTGCAGCGTGCTTCCACAGGCAGGGAGGAGGTAGGCTCAGCATGGATCTGGGTGGCAAGGAGTGATGCGTCCTCCCAGCAGAATGACGCCCGCTTCCACATCCCATCCCAACACACATCTGACGCAGCACCGGAGGACCCAGATGTGGAACAAACTTCTTGGGAAGAGGAAAGACCAAGAGGCCATTTCATTTGGCTTGCAAGGAGTTAACAGTGCTGCCTGGCATCACTCAGTCAGTGGAGAAATGGAAACAGGACTGAGGTTAGAGGCCCAAACGTCACCCTGAGTGCACAGCCAGACATCGCTCCCCCAAAGGTCTCTGATACAACACATTTATTTTGCTGTGTGGCAGTACTGTACAGTACACATACATTACCAGCAGTTTCAGAGCCCTGAGCTGTCATTCTTCCTGCCTTCCCTGAATTTTGGAAAAGAGGCAGGACCACTGTCCCCTTCCCCCATTTCACCTGCAAGGAAACAGGCCAGGAAAAGTCCAAAAACACAGAGGCACTTGCTGACAGGACTGGAGACGAACCTCAGAAAGCCACACTCCCAGTCTGCCACTCTCACCGTTAAGGTCCCCTTTCCCTGGTGCTGGGAGAGGAAGCCCTAGCGCCAGCCCTCCACAAGGTCTCACTACTCTGAGAAGCTCTCTGCACATCTGAACAGAAATCAGACTGAGAAGACTGAGGGTCTGAGAAATGTTTTGGGGCAGTCTAGGTAGGGTGGGATTCTCTTAAATTCTGTAAGATTGTTTAAGAAAGAGCCAAGGAGAGGCTTTTGCTTCCACTGGAACCTGAGTGGAATTTTGCCTGCTCAGATGGGGAAAGAAAGTACCCTGCCCTTCCTGACACACAGTATCACGCACCTCCTTTTCCTAAACCATGAAACAGCAGAGCTCTGGTACCCACACCACCTCTCCATGCCACAGAGAAAGCTAATGCTGTAACAGGCAAGGACAGTGCAGCATGTAACGTGGAACAAGACCCCAAAATAGCCCACAGAATAGACAGAAACAGTCAGAAAGGCAAATGTGCCATGGAGAGCAGAAGGGAGGGAGGGAGCACCCAGGCCTCTCCCACCAGTTCATGTCAGTACGTGGAATGGTGCATCCGGCTCAGGAGAGCAATGACCCAGTTTCCCAGCTGGGACCCCTTCAGCCACAGAAAGAGTTCGTACAAGTTGATCTGCCACAGGCTCAGGGCTTCTGAGAGTGAGATCTGGGCCCTCCTGCAAAGCGAGTGACTCTTGCTCCTTTGGTACCTAGAATGAGAGAAACACCTGCATTAGATCCAGCAGGATGCTGGCAGGAAGGAGGCCTGTCCTACATCTTCAGTACAACTGACCCTCCCCAGGGCAGGGGAATGCCCCACCTCTGGAGAATCCCCATCAGTGGAGACCCCTGGAGTAGGAATTTTCTCCAAGTAATGTTCCTGAGGAGCTGTGGACTGCCTTCCTAGCACGAATCTGGCAGAAGAGACAGCCTGCTCCCTTTGGAGCCCGGTTCTCTCCCCACTGTGTGCAGTGACCCTGGGCCATGGCATCCTCTGCTTCTATGCCCAGCTTCACTTCAGCTAATCGGGACAGGTGTGCACCCCCATAGCTCTTCCTGGTAGCACATTCACAGGAGTCCAGCAATCCTGACGCCCTGATTCCAGGAAAAGTAATTCTCCACTTTTCTTTAGAAGTGGAGGTTAACTGGCCTTCGTAGGTCCCTCATCAGCAAGAGAAATAACTGTTATTTCTTCTGCGAGGAGGAGGAATCTGAGGCAGAAGTGCATTGACTCATAAGACTCACAGATAGAAATCACTTGCACGACTCCTCTTCCTGGCTTTTAAAGATCAGCCTGATCTTCATGGTCAGCCCTAGCCTCTCAGTCAGGCTGCAGAAACTGGCAGCAGTGAACTTGGAGATCTTTCCTACCCACAAATACTTCCCAGTGGTGATGCCTGTAATGGGCAGGAAGCCCCTTCCCCTCCTTTGAAGGGGCCAAACCCTAAACCCTTACCCTAAGGGCTCCAACTCCATCCCTGTCTCCAGCCCCAGGGTGACAGACCTGTCCTCTGGAGAGGCTGATGGGCATGAGAACAGTACAGAGGCAGACATGTAACTGAGCAGGGGCAGGACCACAGCAGATGTGCTAATGAGGGGGAGAGGTCCACAGCTAAGAGTAAGAGGTCAAGTTAGGCCTTGTCAGGGCCTTGAGTAGGGGGATCTAATAAGCTTTAATGGCCCTGACTAGCCTGGGACCTCCCCCAACCCTCTGCTCCTAGGCTCAGGAGCTCCAGTTAATCTCAGGCCTGCACCTTCAGTCCCTGCCTGAGCTACACTGGGGGAGTAATGGTTCCCAGCTCATGCTCTGCTGTGAAGCCCCTTGACCTGGACCTCAACTCACATACTGACCTCTTGGCTTGACTTCAGCCCTGTCTTGTCACCACAGACGTGACCCACAGATTGACTTTCTGGTTTGACTTTGGACCTGCCCTGTCATCATGATGTTGCATTATGCTATGGACTTTTGATTGGACCTGACCACCATCTCAGGGTCTGCCCTGCTTGCCTTGCTCAACTACTGTGAGACTTGGCCCTGGCTGGCTAGCTGGCCCTGGGATCCCCCCACTCCGGCTCCTCGCCCCCAGGGCCAGCCAGCCCCTGCTGCTCCATGTCTGGCCTCTGGTGCCTGGAGAAGACACTTACGTGGAAACAGCTCTGATGCAGCAGCGAGACATGTTGAGGAAGGAACTGGCACTGGCCCGCGTGTGCAGGGCTGACTCAATCCCCCTTAACAAGTCATTGGTCTTCAGCAGCAGCAGCATCTGGCGGGGGACATTGTTGAGGAGCTGGGTGATCTGGGGTAGGTAAGCAGCCGCGTTGGACCGGATCTCCACATCCTGCAGCCAGCCAGGTCATGTCAGAGAGAAAGAAAAGAGAAGCTGAGAGTGCATAGGAAACCCAGGTCCAGATGCAGCTGAGATTTGGCAGGAGGAGACAATGTTTTTCCAGAGCATGACTCTAGGCCAGAAGCTAAAGAGCTCTTTGTCCTGCTTTCCTGCAGACTCCTGGCTGTCCCACGCACTCACAGCAGTCATAGATCACTCCTGCCATATCTCGCCTGCCCCTCAGTGAGATAAGGCCCTGTCCCCTCACTGACAGGATTAATAGCCTCTCAGGAGAACAGGGCACTGATTGCTATCTCAGTTCTTGGCCCCGGGCAGCCCACAGCAGCCACCTCTCATTACTGCCCTTGCAGCCTTCTGACTGAGTCTCACCTCACCAGCCCCAAAGCTGGCAGAGCTGTAGGTAGCACAGGACTGCTCAGGAAGGTGGACGCATGCTGCAGTGACAACCAGGCTGCTCCTTGTCTTGCTGTGCAATGCAACTGATGGCTTTATGCTACACTGATGAAGCTGTTTCCAAGGCCCAGTTTAGTCCTCTGTCCTCAACACAACTCAGCAGAGGTGAGACAACATTATGCAGTCCAGTGCCATGCTAACCCAAAAGATCAAAGACTGTCATCTGCGAGACTAAGGGTCTGCCTAGACCCATATCTTGCCTGGCAGCAGGCAGACAAGGTTTAAGGAAAGAGGGCAAGACCAAGGCAGACGCAGAGTGATCCTTCATGTTCCTTGGTTCCCCAGATTCCAACAAATACACTACCCATTGTAAGATCCCAGTGATAACTGATGGGCTACAGCCCCCCGACTTAAGACGGGGTCCCCTCCAAACATAGAATCATAGAATGGTTTGGGTTGGAAGGGACCTTAAAGATCATCTAGTTCCAATCCCCCTGCTGCGGGCAGGGACACCCTCCACTAGACCAGGTTGCCCAAAGCCCCATCCAACCTGGTCTTAAACACTTCCAGGGAGGGGGCATCCACAACTTCTTTGGGCAACCTGTTCCAGTGCCTCACCACTCTAACAGTAAAGAATTTCTTTCTAACATCTAAAACATGAGCCACCATAGCATACAAGACAGCCAGCCCCCACTCTTCTGCCTGTTTTTAGATCTGAGAGTTCCGCCACCATCACAGTAAACGTAGGACAGTGTGGTGTGGAGCTGATCCCATACACATAATCGTGTCCCTACCTCTTCCTACAGAGGACATGAAATGAATGAGCAAATCCAAACAGAAGTCCCTGGAATATCTGAAATCTCCAGAATCCAGCAGGACACATGCAGAGGGCAGTAAATGACTTCCTACAGGAGGGAGGTTCCTTTGTGGGAAAGGGAAAGGACAGCTCTAAAACCTTCTCTCCTCTGGAATGAGGGATGGCTGGCCTATATATCACGATATGGGATCTCACACTCACTCTTTGTGAACTTCAGACTTCTTTCAAAGGAGCAGACCTGCACAAATCGAGTGTGCAGGTCGTGATGGTCAGAGATGTATACAGCTCACACACCACCACGGTTGTTTTGCTGCTGAGAAATAAATCTTTGTGTCCTCCTGCCTCTGTCACTGACCAAATACACAAAGCTTCAGCAAGAAGATGCTTAGCTCTCCTAAACGTTAAATGTTTTGTTCCATTATTTGCTGGCAGAAAATTCCTCCCTGATTATCTCTTATGCTAGCCAGCATCACTGCAGGGCCTACTCTCTTTTTCTACACACAGGTTTTCTTTTCTATTTCTTTTCTTTTTATTTTTAGCTCCAGCTGCTTGTCCACATCACAAAACAATGACATGATCTGTCATCAGAATTGTCATTTTCTGTTGAGGGTGAAGCCTGTGCACAGAGGAAGAAATGAGCTCTGCCACAGGACCTGAGAAAAGCCCCTTGGCTGCAATCGCTGAGGCTGCTGCAGGATGCAGCAAAACACAATCATAAAATCAGATGAGGCTAGCAGCCACCCTGAGCGGTCAGCTGCCTGGCCCTGACTTAAGGCAGGAACAACTACACCTACGGCAATCCTCACACATTTGCCTAGCCTGCTCCTAAAACTCTCCAGTGATGTGACTCACAGCCTCCCCAGATCATCCGTACCAGCATTTCACTGGCCTTGCTGTTAGATCCGGCTTTTCTCATGTTTAACCCCAATCTCCTTAGCTGAATTTAAACCCATTACTTCTTGTTCTGTTTACAGCAGTCACTAACAAATTTGAAAATCACTACTACAACTCTTCTCGACCCACACTTTTCTAGACTTTTTCTGCCCTAACTTGCTCAGGCTTACCTCATGGGTTGCATCTGCTTGACCACTAGTCCTTGTAGCTTCCTACTGGACTCACCCCAGTTTCAGCAAACCTTTCTTGAGATGCAGTGCTCCGGACTGGACATAGCACTACAGATGATAAGATTTTGTTCCAGGAGTGTTGCTTCCTTGTCTCACAGACTACTCTCACGTCGATACAAGCACGCTCTCTGGAGCTCCACGCTGATGGCACCTGCCTACACAGCGCTTGGCTCTTGCTCCCGATACAATCTTTCAAATTCACCTCTAAAGTAAGGGCAAGCAGCAGCTCATTGCCTAATGCCACAGCAAATCTGCTCAGCTCCCCATTATCTGCTGCAGGATTATCCAGTTTCAGCATTAATTGT